ATGGGCTCACCACTAGGCCCATTACTTGCAGATTTCTTCATGGCAAAACTCGAAAACACATGCATGAAGAAAATGATCGATACCTTCGGAATCTACAAGAGATACGTCGACGACACTTTCATTATCGTCAACAATGAAGAGAATCTAGACGACATCCTGAAGTCGTTTAACAAGTGCCACCCCGCAATTCAGTTCACACTGGAGAAAGAGTCCAACTCTAAAATATCCTTTCTTGACATCCAACTAACAAGACGAGAACACGATGGAACACTGAAAAGATCTATCTACAGAAAGTCAACATGGAACGGACAGCTGATTAACTTCCACAGTTGGGTACCCCTATACACCAAACGGAACCTGATCCGTTCACTTAGCAACAGAGTTCGCAGAATTTGTACCCCGGACACCGTAGAAGATGAACTGGACAATCTCAAGAGAATCCTCGTCGAGAATTGTTACCCAGAACGATTTATTGCAAAATCTATGAATCCTAGGCCACAAAAGCCGCCCACGCATAGAGTCCCGAAGAAACCGCTCTACATAAACCTTCAATTCAATGGAGATATATCTGCGGAAATACTAAAAAATCGACTGTCGCGCTCACTCAAGAAGACTTTCTTCGCAGCTGAACTACGACTAACTTTCTCCACAAAACCTATGATTCATGTGAACGTGAAGGATAAGCTACCACTGTTGGCCTCATCAATGTGTATCTACCAATTCACCTGCTCGTGTGGAGCCAGGTATGTCGGCCGTACCCAGCGTTCGCTTTCCAAGCGTATCACCGAACACTTACCAGCATGGTTTTACAAAGGAGAAAAGCGATGTCCCCGCAGCTCCATCTTAGAACACCTGATAGAATCCGGACACCAAGCTGCACCCCAAACAAACTTCAAAGTCGTCTACAGAGTAAGAAGTAGTCTTCCAAAAGGTGTACGAATCAGACTTCTTCAAACTGCAGAAGCAATGGCGATTCACTTGCTAAGCCCTGAACTCTGCATACAGAAGAGGTTCGTTCAATCACTAAACTTACAATGGACTAAATCTAAGATTTGGATTTCACATTAATGTTAGATCAGTCAGACTTGGCCGTCACGTGAAGAAAAGTGTTTCAAACAGCCGGCTACAGACTTTCATCAATACAGCTGGCTTCACTTCCTAGCGATAGGGAACTCTGGGAAAAAACCAGCCAGGAATCTATTGCTCGACAAATATATCCAGGGAAATGGATGGAATACATGCGCGGGGAAGATCGTTAAGTGAAATCACGTGACAGGCCCTCGAAGGGTACTTCAATGGGAAGAGAGATGAGTTGGTCGTCAGTACGAGGGTGATATGGGGGCAATCGTCAAGCCACTTAAAGAAGAGTTTCAGAGAACGGGATGAAATCAAGATATACTGTTGAAGCCCTATCTTCGACTCGGAACCCAATGGAATAATAATAACATGTTTGCTTTTAGAAACATTCTATTTTGAGAAATATTGGTGACAATTTAATTGCAAATTTTTCATTGCAACAGCTTCAGTGCTAACTCCATCATAGTATGTACTTTTGGAATTCATTATCAATTCTCCCCTGATGACCATAAAAGTGATTGGTTGTCTCCAGGAGTTTTCTTATCCTCTTGTCCACATGTATCGGTACTGATGGTTTTGACATTTTTTCCATGTAACTTATTTTTCATGGAGCTGAGTTTTGAAGGTAGAAAATAAATAATCACACCCTATTTATTTATTTATTTTTGTAAGTCAGAGAATCATTGAAAACCAAGAAATAATCAAAAAAGGTATTTTGTTCCAGTGTTTGACTCTTCAGCAATGCACACACACACTCATGTGACCAAATATAAGGCCTTTAAGGTTACAAGGTTAGTTCGTTGACCAGATTTTAACCCCACTTGATTGGAATTCAATAATCTGTGAATGCCAACTCATGGTCAATTCGTGACAAAGTTCTAGTGTCAACCAATGCAACTGACGAGAATTCACTTCATACTGGGTATGGTAAATACCACGGGCCTGACTGGTTTCGACATAGAAATTCGCAGTGTCAGGAGTTACAACAATCCATGTGGCGTTGAAGTGATATCCGCCTGGTTATCGACCAGAGGGCGGGTGTACAGCTCATCAGTCCGCTCCGTCCTCCGCTATGGCTGTGAGCAAGACGTGCCTATTGAGAGTGGAAGACATGAAAAGATTAGGTGTCTTCGATCATAGGTGACTGAGTTCCAACTCCCGTGTGAAGTGGTATAATAAGCTGAGCAATATTGAGGTTAGCCATCGGTGGTCGAGTGCCAAGTAGATGGTAAGGAGGGGAGATCAATCGACGAGGCTGTCAAGCTACATTGACTGAGATGGTTAGGACATGTGTTACGTATGCATAGTCATCGTTGATCTTTCTCGACGAGCAATGTTAGCTGACATAGGGACAGGCTGGAAAAGAGCTAGCAACTGTCAAACCGAAACATGGCTTCATCAGTCTATGAAATCCACAACAGTTAGTTTAAGCCAGCCAGCCAGCCACGTAGGAAGGTGTAAACTCCCTGACTGGTTGGGGTCCTCAGGACGGTAAAAACCAATGACGGTTGGAAACAATTGGTGATATGGCTCAAACTCATTGTTCTCAATGGCTGGCTAGCGCAGATACATCCAATCTTTGTGAATTATGATTTCCAATGAAACTATATTGTTCTTCGTTATTACTATTCCTTTACCTCACACATCTGTTTACTGTCTCTATTATGCTTTTCTTCTACTTTCTTCTCTTGTTTTGCGTGCTTCAAGGAGGGAGTATGGCGACTCGAACTGCTGCACTTCGGTACAAACTTCTATGTCGAAAACAGACAGACAGACAGATGTAGCACACAAAGCAGGAGAAGAGTGTAAAAGGAGGTTTAAAAGACACATAATAAACAGAAGTGTGAGTGAAGGAAAAAGAATAGCAATGTGGAAAAACAAGAGTTTCATTGGATATTATAAATCACAAAGTGTGAATACAACTAGGCCAGCCATTGAGAAGGATTATGAGTCATATCATCACCAACTGTCTCCCGAAGACCTCAACCAGGAAGTCTACACCTCCCTACGTGGTTGGCTTAAACTAACGTGAATCTCTCGTCTGTGAAAAGAAAGCACTTTATTACTGAATATCACTGAAGCAAAAAAAAGGTGTCTAGAGTTATATCTAGGCTAGGATTCAGTACTGATATAATTGGTTATTAGGAGTTGATCACGGATTGGTATCAGTTAGAGAACCATTGAAAACCAGGGAGTACTGGACAGCTGTTTCATCCTAGTTTGGGAATCATCGGCAGCACGGACCCACCACAAGGGGGTTCGAACAAAGGACCTTCCGGCTACGAGGCAAGCAAGCTCGTTTACCATTCCAGCCACTGGGACCCGATTCAATCGCAAGTGTACATAAATTCTAACTTCTAACATTTAGTGATTTAGCGTGACTGGTACCAACCAATGTCGTCGGTGGGATATCTATCCTGACACTCGACATTTGGATGAACCTCACTGGTCACACAACTTCTCACTGGAACTGACTTCAGGAAACTCCATCCTGTAGCCAGTCAGTCACTAGCGAGCATCAGATTAATTTTCTATGATTAGTTTGTAAGGATTAGATTTGTTTTTTTACGAGTTGATCACAGATGATTGATATCAGCGTACTGCCGATGATTCCTAAACAAACTAGGATGAAACAGCTGTCTAGCAGTACTCCCTGTAAATGGTTATATATATATATATATATATATATATATATATATATATATATATATATCACCGAAAATATCCATTGAGTCATGAAGAAGCTAAAAGACAGATTCAACGAAGAAAATATCCCTTTAGCGGCAAAATCATCTTCACAGGCTGTACAGTCTTATTTATATTTACCAATAATGTATAGTAGTCTATTATTGAGTAATAGGGTGGAGGGGTAACATAATTGATATAATTACTCACGAGTGGCTTTAGAAGGGAAGATTAAATGCTGTAAATTACGTGGTACTCAACGGGACAAAGATAGAAATTTGATGATAAGGTTAAAATTGCTATTGAGTAGTGAGAATAAAGGTGGTAGTTGAGTGTCAAAGTAACAGGTGTGAAGAGGGTGTGAAAATGTACAACAGGGAACATATGAAAGTGATAATAGTGAAATAATTATTGTAGAGAAAGTAAACTAAAAACGAAATTGAAAAATCAAAATTTTTTACGATGCAAGACAGTTACTAGCTCAATTCTCGAGCACTTGGTGAACTCAAGTCATCTAGCTCCACCAGAGTCGTCTTTCAGGATCATCTACAAGGTGAGGCCAAATGGTACAAAAGGCGTCAGGTTTCAGCTTTTGTGTATGGCGTAGGCGCTGGCAATTCGTCAATACAACCTCGAAATCGGTATACAGAAGAAAGTTTGTCCAGTCTCTCTTATTCTACCTTGGTCTTAACCTCTTCCCTGTAAAAATAATCTGGATTTTTTCTTTTCCTTTTCTAATTTTTAATTTTATTTTTAGTTTGCTTTTGCTTTAATAATTAATTCACTATTATCACTCTCATATGTTCCCGGTTGTACATTTTCACACCCTCTTCACACTTGTTAAATTGACACTCAACTACCAACTTCATTCTCACTCAATAGCAATTTTAACCTTATCATCAAATTTCTATCTTTGTCCCGTTGAGTACCACGTAATTTACAGCATTTAATCTTCCCTTCTAAAGCCACTTGTGAGTAATTATATCAATTATGTCACCCCTCCTCCTATTACTCACTAATAGACCACTATACATTTTTTGGTTAGTATAAATATGACTGTACAGCCTTTGAAGATGATTTCGTCGATATATATATATATATATAATGCACAAATTCACACACATTTTCAAAACAAAACAAAAAAATAAGTAACTATGCTACGAATAATGTTTATTATGCATTACACTATAGAATATACAAATATACACTTTTCTAAATGTACACATATATATACATACACATATATAATGAGTAACTAATAAACTAATCATTTCTTCTCTTTACTATCACCCTCAGAAGAAGGAGAAGTCGACGACGATGACGACAAAGAATTAGACAAGTTAGGTGATGATGATGATGATGAGGAGGAGGAGGAGGTGTTCGAGTCGACAGCTAAAGGTGAACGTGTCACACTGACATCTTTATATTCTCCAGAGGTTAATAATTTCGACGTAGAATTATTATCATCTTTTGGTAGAAGTAATTCTTCGGTAGTTTCATTTTCTCTAGCTATTAATAATCGAGTAGCTCTACGATCAGCCTCCTCGTAATCATCAAGACGACGTGGTGGAATTACAGCTGCAGCGACATAACGTCCTTCTGAATTTAAATAGTTGAATGTACCTAAAGCAATATGCTGTGTTTATCAAAAAACAAAAGAGAAAAACAAGACGCTATAATTAACACATTGATCACTTGAATATTTGTTTTTTGTAAATGCAGTACAATTCAAAATATAATGTATAAAAAAACAAAAACATGCATAGATTCACTCTTGACTTGTAAAATAATAAATAAATAATTTATACAGGTCAAATAAGCAATCGTTGATATGCCATCAATCAACCGAGTCTAGTTAAGAGTAGTTCTTCCTAGCCGACAGCTGCTACTTTGCATGGATGATTTCATCATGAGCTGACATCAGTGTACTGATGAAGAGTCCCAAACTAGGACGAAACAGCTGTCCAGTACTCCCTGGTGGGTTTTCCAATGGTTCACTAATTGATGTCAGCTCGTGATGATGAAATTATCCATGCAATCAAACAAAATCCTTACAAAACCAATATTTGAAAGCTACTATTTTGACATTGTCATCTGGCTTCAATGTTGTAATCGTCATCTAACGAGCTATGCTAACTAACTGAAACGAATGTTCACGAAAGTCCGTAGACGCCAGAAAAGTTGGTTAAATAGCATTTAGACTGAAAAAATTACCAATAATATAGTAATTAGTTTACACCAGGTTAAGATTTTGATGGCGAATTCGTGCTTCGGATGAGCAGGGGTGTAAGTGTAACAACAGAAGACAAGGGTTAGGCAACAGATCCTTTATTAAGGAAATCAACACGTATTTATGGATTTTCATGTACATATTATGGATTATTGTCAGCAGAAAAACACAGTCTTCCGATTGGTGGTTTCTCTCTGAACGTTAATCTATCATCTCTTTGTGGCTGTTTCTTGAATTTCAGATCATCTATATGTTAACTGTATCCGCCTACGCAAAGCCTTTGTTCTCATTTTTCTCACGACCAATATTTGGGACAGAAATCTGAACGTAAATTGCTGTCTACCAATTTGGCTAGCAGCCAACTCTCACCACATAAGAACAAACAGTGAGGTGTTTGTTTCAGACGGCCAGCTATGCTGTTTCTCTTATCACAGGAGGAAGCGTTAGGGATGGCTAATGCCTAAAATAATACAAATAGATTTAATAAATGATTATGTGCATTATTATTATTATTATTATTATATTTCCTAGGGTTCCGAGTGGAACCTTGGGTGTCAACAACACATCTCGACTTTCTTCTATGTTCTGCTGTCCTCTCCAGTCGGTTTACCCCACGATTGACCATAATCTCTCATCTGCTCCTTTTTACCACACCATCTCCTCCATGTCACCCTCTCATTGACAACCCACTCGGCGTTTCCCATTAAAATTTTTTTCGAGCAATGATCTGCATTGCGCAAGATGTAATTCCACGGCATTTGCTAAACGTTTGCTCGACTCATCTCCACTTTCTTCTACATATCTGTTGAGCGGTCGGCTCTCACCTATTGGTTTATTCCCAGTCACAGTTTCTAATTCTGTCCAACCGGCCATTTGATCTTCAGTGTGTGGAGCCAGCGATGGAAGCTGTCGATAAAGGTTTGCAACCTAACGGATATGCTTTCCGTTATTCGCCTGTCAATTTTCTGACGCGTATAGAAGAAGTGATTGAATCGACATTGGTGCTGAAAATTCAAATCTTGTCCTTTACTCTGGCTGAATGAGAGCAGGAGATTTTCAAACTAGTTTCAAGCTGATCAAGGCGGTATTTTTCCTTTCCGATTCCGACTGGCTTTGACATCTTCATCCGTTCTGTCACCTGTCGTTGAAACGATGCTTCTAAAGCCAGATAAGTGAATGAATTAACCTCTTTCAAATCTCTCTCTCTCTCGTTGGTGGTGATTGGTGCTGGTTACTGTTGTTGTTGTTTCTGTTGGTCGTTTGGTTATCTTCACCACCTCTTTCTTCTCTATTGTTCACCCAGAGGCCTGTCTTCGCCACCTACTGGTGTTTTCTGTCAGTTTGTTGGGTTTTTTTGCCTGTAAGTCTTCAAAAGTTCGTGTAACATTAGACATATATCCTCTATCAAAATCTAGACCTTCTAGAGTCGTTTTATCTGCCCACCGTATTCTTGTCTTCTCACTCCTCACAATCTGACGCATTATCCAGTCCAACACTATTGAGAATATCATCGGTTATCCGTAACCCGACACAACTTCAAAAAAGCCACGTGTGATCAACCCATAAGCTCTTCAATAACGCAAAACTGATGCTTTCACTATTCCAGATATTTTGAGAAGAACACAGAGTTCCGTTAAAATATTATCTTTTCGGTGAATTCATTCACTTGACTTTACAGTCGCAATTATATATATATATATATATAAAATTTTCGAGTGCTGGTTTCAGGGGTTTTATTTGATTGGTTGGTAGGAAGACAACAACATCAGCTGACATCGGTTAGAGAACCATTGGAAAACCAGCTGGGAGTACTGCCAGAGAGCCAGCTGTTTCATCCTAGTCTGGGACTCTTCACAGTACGCACCGACCGTTGGGGTCCGAACCCAGGATCATCCAGTTACAAGGCTAGCGATCTCATAGACCATTAAGCTACTGGGACCCAATCCAACTGTTACTCCATGAATTCTTAACTTCTGCTAATTCACGACATATTCTAAGATAATAGGTTTTCAGACCGTAGGTGTTACGAACTTCCTGGAATAATTTGAGCGCCGAGTCAGGTTGATTCATTATAAATTATTCATATATATTTTGATGATTAATAAAAATCCGAATAAATCTGCTGAAGAAGCTGTGGCTTACACGGAGAAACGTTCAGAAAAATCTTGTTTTGATTTGCTTAACACGCTGGGATCCATTTAAATAATTTATCACGACATATTCTGTCTATATGTGAGGAAAAGATTGAACATCAACTTGGTGTATTGTTAGCATCATCAAAAATATTTTTAAAAAAACATTGTCTGAATTCTTCGATAGAATTAAAACCTCAAGGGAATTCATACTGACTCCCAGTTTAGAAACAGGGAGTGAAGTTGTTGGTGGAGCACGTTGACCGCTTCACTTATTTGCGAAGTTGCATCAGCCAGCACCATCAGCGGGTTGATCTTTGACGAAATCTCAGCTCAGTACGGATACAGAGGGCTAGTTTCGCCTATGCCAGTTTACGCCGTCTCTGGCTTAGTAGACGTGATATCCAGCTGGCTTTCGAGCAAAGGGCGGGTGTACTGCTCATCAGTCCGCTTCGTGCTCCTTTATGGCCAGCTGTGAGACCTGGCCATTGCGAGGGAAGACATGAAAATATTAGCTGTCTTTGATCATAGGTGCCTACGTTCTATCTCCCGTGTGAAGTGGTTTAATAAGGTGAGCAATACCGAGGTTAGGCATCGGTCGAGTTCTCGGTAAGGAGGGGAAATCAATCGATGAGGTTGTGAAATTACATCGACTGAGATGCTTAGGACATGTGTTACGCATGTATCTCTAGCCATCGCCTTCCTTGACGGGCAATGTTAGCTGACATAGGATGAATCAGTTTGGAGAAGAGCTGTGGAAGCTGGAGACAATAGGTGATATGGCTCAAAATCCTCGTTGTCAATGGCTGGGGCAGTTGCATCCACTCCAATGAAACTATAGTGTTCTTCGTTATTACTCTTCCTTTGCCTTACAGCTCTGTTTACTTTCTCTATTATGCATTCGGCGAGCTGTCATCTGAACTGATGACGACCAGTGGTGTCCGTCAAGGATGCCCATTATCTCCTTTTCTATTCAACTTCATCATAGATGTGTTAATGGACTTAACCCTAGGTGACTTCAGTGACTCAGGAATTGACTTGCTACCGGGGAATAATCTCGTTGACTTGGAATATGCAGACGATATAGTCCTTCTAGGCGAAGACGCTGACGAAATGCAGAGTCTTCTAAACACCTTGAGCCGCAATCTACGAATGTTTGGCATGCGATTCGCTCCCGCCAAATGCAAGATGATGTTACAGGACTGGACTACATCGACGCCTAGTTTAAAAATAGGAAGTGAAGTGGTTGGTGGAGCACGTTGACCGCTTCACTTATTTGGGAAGTACCATCAGCCCCAACGGGCTGATCTCTGACGAAATCTCAGCACGAATACAAGGGGCTCGTTTCGCATTTGTTAGTTTACGCCGACTCTGGCGTAGACGAGATGTTCGACTATCGACCAAAGGGCGGGTGTACTGCTCATCAGTCCGCTCCATCCTCCTTTATGGTTGTGAGACCTGGCCACTGAGAGTGGAAGACATGAAAAGACTAGCTGCCTTTGATCATAGGTGCCTGCGTTCTATTTCCCGTGTAAAGTGGCATAATAAGGTGAGCAACATGGAGGTTAGGCGTAGAGTTCTAGGTAAACAGGGGAAATCAATCGACGAAGTCGTGAAGCTACAAAGACTGAGATGGTTAGGACATGTGTTACGTATGCCAAGTCATCGCCTCCCTCGTCGAGCAATGTTAGCGGATATAGGGTCAGGCTGGAAAAAAGCTAGCGGCGGTCAAACAAAAACTTGGCATCAGTCAATGAAATCCACAACAGTTGGTCTAAGCCACGTAGAAAGGTGTAGACTTCCAGGCTGGGGTCCTCGGGACGGTAAAAATCAATGGTTGGAAACAATTGGTGACATGGCTCAAAATCGTTCTCAGTGGCGCAGATGCATCCACTCCCTGTGACTTATGATCTTCAATGAAACTGTTTTGTATTTCTTTATTACTCCTTTGTCTCACACCTCTGCTCACTGTTTCTATTATGCTTTTCTTGTACTTTCTTCTCTTGCTTCGCGTGCTACACGAAATGTGGCGACTTGAACTTCCGCACATTTGTGCAAAGTTCTATGTCGAAAACAGACAGACAGACAGACTATTATGCATTTCTTCTACTTTCTTCCCTTGCTTTGTGTGCTACAAGGAGGGAATGTGACAACTTGATCTGGTGCACATCGGTGCAAAGTTCTTTGTCAAAAACAGACAGACAGACAAAGGAATTCATGTCCCTTCTGAAATTTGTAATTCACTCAAAGAAGTTACTATTGAGTTTGGTCTAGAGCATTCTGCTGGCTGTTTCCAACCAATCTAATATGGATAATTTAACCAATAACGGGCAGGTAAATCATTTGCAAAAAAAGTTGTTAGCACACACTATAATATAGTCACTATCCATTATCATCATCTAATAGAATTCGATGGAACATAGACACACTTTTCGGCGTCCAACAATTGACATATTTCTTGACTTGAAGGCGGCCTTCGACTCCGTGGATCGAAAGGTACTATGGCAATGTCTGACTGTGAAGGGAGTGCCAAGAAAGTACATTGCACTAATCAAGGCACTCTATTCAAACTCACGTAGTCGTGTAAGGACTTATGGGGAATTGTCATCTGAATTGATAACAACCAGTGGTGTCCGACAGGGATGTCCACTTTCCCCATTTCTGTTTAACTTCATCATAGATATGCTAATAGAAGTATCCTTAACTGAACGTAAAGACTTAGGAATTGACTTGTTACCAGGGAATAATAGTCTTATGGACTTAAAATATGCAGATGACATAGTCCTGTTAAGGAGAGGATCCTGATAAAATGCAGAGTCTTCTGAACACCTTGAGCAGCAAACTTCGTATGATTGGCATGCGATTCGCCTCTGTAGAATGTAAGATGCTGCAACAGGACTGGACTACGTCAACTCCTAGCTAAGTGATGGGGAGTGAAGTGATAGAACATGTTGACCACTTCACCTATTTCTGAAGTCGTATCAGCACCAACGGACTGATTGGCGACGAAATCTCAGCACGGATCCAAAAAGCTCGAGCGAGCTGCTTTCGCTAACTTACACCATCTCTGGCGTAGGCGTGACATCCAGTTATCAACCAAGGGACGTGTGTACTGCTCAACAGTTCGCTCCGTCCTTCCCTGTGGCTCTGAAACATGGCCAATACGTGTTGAAGACATGAAAAGGTTGACTGTTTTTGATCACAGATGTCTACGATCTCTTTCTCACGTAAGCAATGTTGACGTTAGGTATAGAGTGTTGGACAAAGGGGGAAAATCAATCGACAAGGCTATAAAGTTACATAGATTGAGATGGCTAGGTCACGAGCTGCGCATGCCTAGCCATCGCCTCCCCCGACGGCATTACTAGCTGATATAGATAGGTGCAGGTTGGAAAAGAGTAAGTGGTGGCCAAACAAAAACATGGCCTCATCAATCCATGAAATCCTTGACAGTTAAACTGAGTCGGTCAGGTAGGGAGGTGCAGACTTCCGGGTTGGGGCCCTCGAGACTCTAAGAATCAATGGCTGGAGACAATAGGTGACATGGCTGAAAATCGTTGTCAATGGCTGGCGCAGATGTATTCAGTCTCTGTAATCTTTCATATTACTTTCTATCGTTACCCATTCTGTTTCACTCTTATACTTGTCAAACTCTATTGATTCTCTTCACTCATCTTCTTGTCTACCTTTGTGTGCTATATGGAAGGTGGCAACTCGAACTGGTGCACTTCGGTGGCAAGTTTCTATGTTGAATCCAGACAGACAGACAGACAGATGAATTCGATTGAAATTATACAAAATATGAAAAAAAAAGAAAAAGAGGACACTCTTACCGTTGGCATCACTTCAACGCATAAACGATGCTGCCAGCATATGTCTAAAATCCTACGATAATCCACCATGCTTTTTGTTTCTCCTTTACCAATTAACAAAACTTCTTTAAAGAGGAAAAAGAGATGAATAAGAATTCATTTATGTTTTTAAAAAAGACAGCAACATACCGATTGGAGGTTCTAGCATAAAAAATAATGATAATGACTTTTCCGTAATATCTAAAGCATCATTAACCTTTAAAAGGAGAGATAGAAAGTGAAATGGATAAATAAATAATAACAATATTTGAATATTTGAACAAACCTACATGCCAGCATAATACATTTCGAGGGAATGCAACACATGGTCCAATAATTTTAACACCACTGTTTAACACAAAACCATTTTCATTGTAAGCAGAAAAATACACCCCGCATGAACCATAATTGACTAAGTCAACTTCAACACCTTTAGAGTTTTTAAACATCATAATCCCATTGCCTCGATCATCGAAACCTACACTACATATTTTAAAGAAAAATATATAGTTCAAATATTAAAAAGCACAATATATATTCTTACGCTAAACGACGACGGACTGCGTGAATGTTTGTTAATCGTTTGAAGAATAGAAAAGAAGAATGCCTCATTTGAAGAAGTTTTTACTGATAATAATTTCTTGCTTGACAGCCAGTTTGAGGTATTCAGAGTACCTAAGATATTTGAAACAATCATTAAAAAATGGTACATATATATATATATATATATATATATATATATTTGCTTAAATATTTTCATGTGTTCGTCGGTGGCATAACGGTTAGAACGCACGCCGACTATGCACATGGTCCGGGATTTGATCCCCGGCCTTTACCTCGCTAAGTCAAAAATAATGCTGGTAAAGAGGAAAGTTTGGACATGAGGCTAGCAACCCCATCTTGTAAAAATTAACACTGCTACAGAAACTTCAGGTCTCTAGCTAGAAGCCCTGTGTTCCACTGGGAACATGAAGGAAAAATTATGTTTATTATTAAATATTTTCATGTGCTTTTTTAACTCATGCGTAATCGCCATCCAGACATTATTAATGAAAATGTTTTGAGAACGGTGCACTCAAGTCGTACATTGACAATTTGCAATTGTACAAACGGTACGTAGATGATGATATTTTTGTTGTTTGCGACAACAGTTATGAGCAAAATCAGTTGCTAAAAATTTATTTATTTATAATATGGAACCAAGAAAGATGCACCACACAATAATAATAAAACATAGATTAAAAGTAAAAATATAAGTAGAAAACGGATAAAGAACTTCAGCTGGAAGGAAAACAGTCATGCTCAACAAGTTTAAACAGTATTCGTTAACTATCATCAGGAAGGGAAGAAAGAAGGAAGTCACAACACGTTCGCCACTGATTACGATTCTTGGACATATCCGATAACGTTTTGAGCCATCGATTCAAGCTATCTCGCGGACTCCAACCAGGGAGTCGTGACACACCAATCGATGCTAATCTAACCGAACACACATATACTTCATCCCACGACGTTACGTCATGGACTGACCACCCCTCCGCCTTTTCCATCCCATCCCAGGGCTAGCGAACAGAGGCCTGTATGGAAACCTCTGGGATGACATTCACAGCACATGTCCAAGCGACAAAATCTCGCATCTGACTACTCCTGTGTACATGTATCAGTACATCTGTTGCTGAGGAGCCAGGTACAGTGGTCGTTCGACGCGTATCCTGTCTAAAAGGGTTCAAGAACGCTATCCCGCATGACTCCAAAAAGATAATAACGGCTGTATAAGGAGTGAGATAATATGGCTCTCAATATGAACCTCAGTGGGTGCGTACTACAGATGATTCTCAAACTAGGACGAAACAGCCACCTAGTACTCCCTAGTTTCCAACGGCTCCCTATTCGACATCGATCACAGGGCAAATTCGAAAAAAGATATTATAGTCAAATGTTTCCTTGGCATAAAAGTGTCTATGGTAATCTATCTCATTATTCAATTATTCTGATAACTGAAAGATTACTGTACAGATGTCGACTGTCGAGTACGCCTAGTATTAATGATAACAACAGTACGCGATTAATGGAACCCGTATTCTAAGTTATACAATTTGTCTTACAAACTAGTGAAGAAATGTCACGAAATTAATCACCCGAAACAAGTATCTCTATCTCTCTGTCAATGCAGCAAAATATGCAACCATATTCATCGGACAAGCAAGCATCAACTCCTACGAACTAGAGGGAATAACACTTCCATCAGTTCAGAATCATTTGGATTGAGGTGTCATAGTTAGTCACGATTTGAAAATTACAGTACACCGCCGTGCGCTGGCTGCACGTATTTTCAGATCCTTATGCGCAATTTGCATAGCCTTTACTGGAATCACCAGAGATATGTTCACCTCTTTATATGCATCTCTGGTGAGGTCAAGAATGGAAAACTGTATCGTGGGAGCCAGTCCTTGTGCTAAAGGGGACTCACATATTCTAGAAAGGATTCAAAGGAAACCAATGCGTATAATTATTAGCATGACTAATTTATCATACGAGGAGAGGCTAGACAGTTTAAACCTCTTATCCTTGTCATACCGCAGGCAGAGAGGAGATTTAATCACAATGTTTAAAATCTTAAATAATGACAACGGACCTGACCTATTCTCTCTCTTTCTTCCCACCAGGTCGGAACACCTTAGAGGATATAGCAGAAGATTTCAAAGGCAAACAAGAAATCATACTGCTGTTGAATACTTGTTCTCACACTGATTCATAAACTCTTGGAACCGATTCCCAGAATAAGTGGTGTTTGCAACCTCAACCCATTCAAGAAGGGTCTGGACAAGCAAAGAAATTTACTAGAAAACGATTAACATAGGCTCTAAGCCTTCTATCCTCAACCAATAAATTTGAAATTATTAACGCGGAGTTCAGAATTAGTTTAAAATTATTGTAGGCCTCTCAGCTAGCACTGACTTTCAGAGCACTTTGGAGGAAGACTTCAATAACACTAGACACTTTGGGACAGCTTTAGGGTCTATCTCAGGTCCTTTTGGACCACTGAAGACAACTGTCTTAATTTCACTGGTGAACCCTAGGTTTTTGACCAGAAATTCTGAAGCCTCAATAGGACAAACGGGGGTAAAGAATGGTTAAAATGGTAAGATTTCAGATAAAAGTAAGGATGGTAAAATATTAGTTAAATGCTGGAGACAATGATGAAATTACGGCAAAATTTAGTCGATGGACCTTGAGTCTACCCCAAATATTCTGCAGTGCTCCCGAAGATTGTCCCGAGGTCCCTGCAATGCACACAAAGTCATTGCTTCCTGGGAAGCTCGGTCAAATAACGGAACATGCTCGTTTTTCGCCTATTATTCACTCGTGTTTTACTATCTTCGTTTCACTGGGTGTATCAGGAAGGAAAAAAAGGCTGAGTTAAGGCTTGTAATAAGCAACAATTGAAAATGTTCATTAAATCCCTTAATCTATCGACAAATACCTTCTCTAGACAATCTTACCTTCAATTTCTTTTGACGAATTTTGCGTTGGCTGTTCATACCAGGTGCGCGAAATCAGAAAACTCAACTCAGCTAATCACAGTATTTTGTAGCGCAAATGTTTGTATAGGGTAGTTTTCAATAAATTTTAGCTAATCGACAATCGTAATTTTTATTGCTGATTTCTACTCAGTGTTTGATGAAAGCTCGAAAAGGTGTTAGAAGTTGATTAAACTATAACACCTATTTCGGGATCTCTCTGGTTTCCTATTCACACCATTTACCATCGGTGCTTGAATTTCAGTGTGTTAGTCCTGTAAATTTTTCAGAGGAAAATTTTGGCATCCAAATTTTCCTGATAGAGGATAGATACCGTCTGTTTCTTCAGTCACCTATTTGACCGTCCAGCCTTAATGTGCCTGACCAGAAATTCCTTTGACCTTTTAACATGCCACTGTGAACACTTGCTCTATTTTTACTTGATTCATGAAACATCACTCTGTTACACGGACCCTATTTCGAAAGTCTCAAGTATATTTTGGTCAAAACATCTGAAATATATTATGGAGCCTTATGGATGCCTTGCAAAGGCTTTATAGCTCTCTGACGTCAAGCAAACAAAGTTATATGGACACTTGAAGAGATGGGTAGTTTCTGAAAGGAAACTTTCCCTGGAACCTACAGAACAGTCCAAACAAAATGTACTGGTTTTTAACCTAGAGAAAACAATATTCAGTGATGTGACAACTTGACAATTTAGAGTTTATTGAAGAACCCGGTGCCTCACGATTAACAAGTAAGCTAGTAGCACAGAATCGCCCATGTACCCTTCTTTTGGGCCCGAATTCCTGAAGCTTAGACTACTGGCAGTTAGCCCAAGTATACTTGAAATAAATCGGCTCAGCTACTTGTAGAATGTTCCCAGCAAATGGTGTTAGAAAACCAAGAATTCCCAAACAGTCTGTGCTGCACTTTCCAATCTCTTATGGCATTATTTACATGGGCAATGAATACTAAATGCGCGCAAGGATGTTCAGATTTAGAGGAGGAATCGGTACGAAGTCAAGTGCCAGGTGGTCACAAAAGGTTGAAGAAACTCATGAAACCAATTGACTTCCGGACGTTTTGTTTTCACTGATCGACTTGCATATGTCTGCCGACCGAGTTAACAAGTAAGTGCTGCAATCATTTGGTATTTTGAAGTGTTAGTGGAGATCTTATGATACCGTGTAAGGTGGGATATCTACTTCATTTCCCTTAATACTGTTATCTGATCACATTCTTCTAATTAATGTATGCAGTATACCTCCTTCTTTATTCACAGATGTATGGAGTAGTCCGACCACTAAGTTGGCATGGGCCTAGTGGGTTTCGTGACCACGGTAAGTGCGTAACATAGCCGTTATAAATGTTGCCCGCAGTTAGTGCCAATAAACGTAAGAACATATCGTTGCTGATTTCATCATACCATGCGCGAGGTGCAGAATGTTCCAGAACTATAGACTAACATTCTCCAATGAGCATAGCCCATCTCGAGAAATGTTCCCAGACCTAGACAAGCTATTTAAAAGTATTCCACAAGGAATCAATTTTCGGAAAGCCTCAGTGGAAGTGAGAAACCTATTTGTACTATATGTGGAGGCTTAACCAGAGCGTAAACAACCAAGTCCAACGAAATACTGCTACGCTTTCCGTGGCGGACATCACGCCTGGACGTTTTGTAGTTGTCTACACTGAAGTTATTACTGTACCTTACCATTAGAAATGAATCACCGAATGGATCCTCTATGCTCACAATGAAAACTTATGAAGGTCTTTGGGAAACTCATTCACTCAAGTTTCAACATAAACTAAGGCTCCATGAACAGACTTATATGTCAATAACCCTCTGGACACGTTTCATGCTCAAAATTACTATAAAAACCGCTCACACCGTCGGCGAATCTCTGAGGTCACACAATAACAGGGAATCCATATTATCTCACCTAACCGAAAGATTTGGGGAAACAGCGTCCATGAGGCCTGAACATATACACAGAACGTCACATATCGTATGACCAATTTCAGTAGAAAACAGGAAGCTCACAAAAGTAAGGCAAAGTTCCTTAGTAGCTAATTGTGTTTGCCCCA